ATATTATAATAATGTTATACGCGTCGAGACCAGATATGAACGATTGCGTGTGATCGTTAGGTTAGGTACGATTTTTGTAAAATGTATTGCCATCCAGTCAAACTATATATATGTATATATAATAAGTTTAAATAATTTGGTATAATAAATGCACCCATCAAGAGAAATATGTCATGAAATAAATCTGAATTTAAATTTACATTGTAAATAATATTGCAGATAACTCGGCCTATTAATTATTAATTGTCAACAATAATATAAGTTAAAAATCGAAATTACTATTATACTGTAATAAATCACCTGGTATCAAATCATTAGGTATCAATACGTGGACAAATAATAGGCCCGAAAGATATTTAAATGTATCCGAGAGATAGTCTTGATGACTTAATATAAAAAATTGATTTATTAGTTATTTCTTTACGATAGTATCATAAATTTCATTTATTAACAACAATAGTTTACAATTAAAATAAAATTGTTGTAATATACTAATCGATGCGTGTTTTCACCTAACTGATCACAGATACCTATTATACCTTTTATGCTCATTTTGCTCCCACAGTTTCGATAACTTGGGCATATGGCCATTTATTGGTGTACCATACGGATGATCCGGCTGCTTAATTGATATCTATTTATTTATTCATATTTAAATAAATATTTTATGCCTAACGGTATTCAACAAGATTAAGCAGGTTAAAAATAAAAAATATGTGATAGGTATGACAAAACTATAAAATAGCTAAAGATTAAACAGAGTATCTACCTACTTAAATGGTCAGTGTAGCCGGGGAACTAAACTGAGTTAAAACAAGCAAGGCACAATATAATTTGCATTAAAAGCATTATAATTTATGTGTAGTAAGTAACTCTGGTTTCAGGTCAAAATACCTCCTATTCAAAATATTTCTAATTAAAATATCTCCCATGACTAATTACAATATTACACTGTCACACTGACTAATTTGTATAATATTCTGATATATTTTTTACGATTGCGATTATAAACCACGATAAACGAATTTATCGACGTAACGATTATATCGATACGACAGTGTGTTAGTGTAGACATACAGCTGGTATTGACTAAGCTAGTTCTAATTCAACAGATTTAGATTTAAAAATGCCTCTATAATTTATTGCAAGTCAAAAAATCAACAAATTATTAATACAAAATGGATACCTTCATACGTTCTATAAGGATTGAACAAATTTATTTGGTGTTGTTCTGAGTAAAAAACATATAAATGTACTTCATGCTATACAACCACTCGAGAAGAAATAGATAATTATTATTTTGTTAATTAATAATTATTAAGGCCTGGATTTATATGCAAATGCATATTTTTTTTAAATTTATCTAGAATAATTTTGTTCATTAATGTTAACGTTTCGTAATATGTAGATTAAATGGTTAAATTTTTTCACGTTTTCACATATTTGAATGAAAATTCATATTAATTGCATATTTCTGAATAGTAGCATAATTTACTATTTTTAAAAAATTAACCATAGAATCTACACATTACGAAACATTAACATTTATAATCAAAATTATTTTAGATATTTGTAGAAAAATATGCATTTGCATATAAATAAGCCCCTTAAATCATATTAATATATTAAGAGATATTTTAAACAGGAGGTATTTTGTACTGAAGACATTTTAAATCAGAAATATTTTTAACTGAATAGATATTTTGACCGGTCACCGGATGACTCTTATAACCATAATGTACATTATAATATATTATAATGTGGAATGATTTGGGACATAGAACTGGACTAGATTTTAGGTAGTACAAGTAGAAACCTTAAATTGGATATATATTCAAATGATTTCAGATCTTAAAAACCACCCACAAGGAAAGCAGTTAAAAATTTTCTTTTGCTATGAGGCGTGAAGAAAGAGAAGAGGATTAAACATATTATTATTATTAGAAAAGAAAAATGTGTCAAGTATTATTATAACATATATATATATATATAATAATTATATATATATATATATAGGCAAAAATCTTGCCCATGGTAATAATATATGCGTAAACAAATCACGTAATGAACGGGTATGGAGTCCGTTGGAAAAACGTAAAAAAAAAACTAGCCTAAAGAAAATAAAGGGCGCATTTACCTGGCAGCGATTTCTCGCGGTGCTCATTACATCCACTTATGCACATTTCCTAAGTATTAATAATGCAATAAACACGATGCGCACGCACAATAAGTGACTGATTATTATATTATAATATTATAATAATCATTGTAATCATAAAAACTCTAGCCGCATGATGAAAAGTTTAAAAAAATAAACGTTTGAAAGTACCTAATGATAATAAAAGTTCTTCCTTTGCACCTACAGAACAAATTCGGTCGCACTTTTTAATAGACTTTTTAATAGAACTTTCTTTTTCCACCCACAATTGACACGGCTCATTTATTATAGTTTCTCGCGACCACTCCATATCATGGTAGTTTGATAGTATGTGCAGTATAATCTGTATAATCGTTAAAAATGCAGCTCAATTTAATATATATACCTACTGTAATTATTAGGCACGTGTACCTACCTATGTTATAAAAATATCATGTTACAATCTATCAAACATCACGCGTTTATAATCAGATGCTATAAATTAATGTTAGTAAAAATATTAATATAAAAACTAAAGTGCCTGTATAGTAAATACATCCACGATTTATGTGGTCAGGAATTTCGAAAAGCAGGGACGACTGTTATGAAAAATAACCATAGATAATTGACAAAATAAAATGTGTCAAAATGTCAATTGTTATAATACTAATATTATTAATATTTTGAAAATTAATTTGCACTTACCTGTAATGGCAATTTAGTAATATCTACAATACATGTTTTATAATATTTTTTTTATACTTTAATAATAAATAAACAAGTCTATGGTGGGAAAAGATTTTATTCCTCCATAGTTTCACTGACGATTTGATATAATATGATAAACATACCTCTCTATCAATTATCGTGATGATTTTATATTCCACATGCCACACTATGAATGTCTCTATACACACACCCATAAATATATATATATATATATTGGAACCGAAAATTCTTCATTGATCAATTAAGGTTTACGCAGCGCTTGCGCACGTTTCTGACTCTTACCGCCTCCACCACTTTGGTTGCATATTACATTCACTGATGACTCATATATATTATTGTCGCGAGTAAACGCACAAGTTAGATATGCCTTGGATGGATCTTTGGACGCAGTTGCTGCACATCGACGACGGCGGATGCGTTGTATATATCAATGCCTCCACCGTGCAAGTCGCGCGCGTGTTGGCTCCTGCGTTCTTCGGCACAGACTGCGGCGGTTATTTACCCGCAACTCGGCCGCGGCGGAGGTCTACTATATAATATATTTATAAATTTCTTTTTTTTTTCGGCATATTATTATTCCGTTTCCTCTCTTTCTCCCGTCCTATCACCGTCGTCGCTCGTCCAATATGTATGTATGTATTCAAAAATTATTATTCATCGAGTAGCCGCCGCCATCCACCCCCGCCGAGCTAATTACCAAGTTAATATACTCGCGCTATACTCATGCAACACAAGGAGCTGTTGCATGAAAGTCAAAACTCATGCAATTTTCATCGTAAGCGGTCCAACCATCTTGTCCCACATCCAAAACGATCTCCTCATTAATTCCTCCCCTCCTTTTCATAGCACATTACGCAAGCAATACATCAAAAATCGTACCACTGCAGTCGACCTCTCTGGTTATACCTAAGTATAAATATTATTTATATATACTGCACAGTGCACAACAAAATATAGAGGTTAACTTGTCATATGAGTTCTACCGTAGATCGCGGTCTACCTACAATTACGGCACGTTTGTCGTATGCGTTCTACTACCCAATTTATCTTTACTATCGTGACTTAATGCTAATAAAGATTATCACTCTCTTCTATTGCATGATATAATTTTTGATCGTGTATTTTGTCATTGGCCGACAGTTCTTGGGTTTACACGGTTTTTATTTTCACTTTTCAATATGTTTGCAAAAGAATTTCATACCATAATTCAAAACGAAGAATCAGCTACTATTTTTTTTAATTTCTAAAAATCTTTTAGTAAATGTAGAAAATATATTGTGCGATAAATGTATCTATATATAATCTATAAATTGTAATCGTAATCCGTGCCGACCAAGATAATTTTTATCTTCAAAATTATCTAAACTGCGATGTTTGCCGGAATAAAATAAATCTAAAAATACAGTTTCCAAGTATTCCTATAGTTCGACTTATCTGTATATAAAATTAATGCTTGTACCTATCACCTGTGTATGTATATATGGTGTAATAAAAATAATTACTTATATTACTTACAATTAGAGTGGTAAAAACGACAGAGCGCATACTGCAGTCGTAATGTCGCCGATAGAGCGCATACAACAAGATGGCCAATATAGGTATAAGAGTGGTTAGTGGAAAAATTACTAAAAATTAAAATACAGTTGCTATTTTGTGACGATAATATAGATAGATACGGAAAAAACAATTTGAACGTTTAAATTGTATTATAAATCCATTAAACAACCTTTAAAGTATTATCTTGTACTACTCATAGTAATTACGGGTAGCACCCTACAAGGCCCAAAAATAAGTCTTTAATAAGACGATCAATTGATTTAACAAATTCCTCAATGTCTTTTATTTCGTGAAACGTGTCTATTTTTCTTCATATAGGTATCCAATGTATCCACACTCACATATTGACCTTTGTTCATTAAAATATTAGATAAGTACTTATTTTTTTTAAATACCTACTACAATAATTATCCGCGCAATGCGTTAATTTTTATTTCCGTTACCTAGGTAATTTATACATTTTTAAATCATTAAATAACTATATACTAATAATTAATTTTTATAAAAATTCTCGTTTAAACTTACGAAAAACAATTGAATCATTAAAATAATAAATACATTAATTTCTTTATCCGATATGTCTGAACCCGAACGACAGCCGATTGCGACGGAACCGTTCCACGACGATGATAACGATGACGACGATCAAGAACAACGATCCGAAGCAGAACTATCGAACGACAACGTCAACGAAGAGCCACCCAGGCTACCCGCGCAATTGTTGGCCGAGGTACACGCGGCTTTCGCCATGTTTAGCGAGGGCAGCGACAAGATGAACGTCAGACACCTATATATGGCATTGCGCGCGCTCGGCGTAGACGCGACTGACGAAGACGTCATCGCCATAGTAGACGAATACGATCCAAAAGGACGCGGCTACATCACCCGCAACCAATGGACGGTATCTATGACGCGTCGTTGGGCTGAAGACGGAGCGCGTCGCCGGCGATTCCGAGGCATGCTAGCGGCCGGCGATTCAACGTCCAGCGGTCAGGTGTCGGTCAGCCATGTGCGCGCCGTGCTTAACGAATTCGACCCAAAGGTAGTGACGACCGTGGACGTGGACGAAATGGTGACCACCATGGACTATGCCGGTTTGGGAATGATCGACTACGACGATTTCATGGACACAATGGTCCGACCGGCCCCGCTGGACAGATATCTTTAGACTGTTAGCTAACTACTTTGTCCTATACATATTATGCACCTATAAAATTGTACGTCTGTAACTACTTACTATCTATATTTTATTTGTGTCTATTGCGTTTCGTGTCATTTAAGTATACATAGCCCCGTGAGATGGAAATGTGTATCCTTATTTAATATTTTTATCATGTATGTAATTTATGAACAATGATATATTTTCATTTAATATCATATTTGCCATTGTGCATTAAATATAGATACTCAAGCTCTGCATGACTGCATGTTATACAAGTGATGGTAATAATTTAAAATGGTTATTTTAGAAATATGCGAGGAAAACAAGCATATTAAAGAATTGAATTGAATGTTGAAAAAATAAAAATAAACCAAGAAAAAAGTTGTAGCTACAAATATATTTTATATTTAAATTAGATTATGATTTATGAGGGATTTTGTTGCAGTGTAATATGTTCCAATTGGCTATAGAAACAAATTTTAAAACAAAGGGGTAAGGTAAGAAAAAAAAGTACGTCTGTAGACTGTAATGACAAACTAAGAAGACTTATAAGAAGAACCAATTAACATAAAAAAAAAACAATATGCAGTAACGCCTTGTATGCTTACCGAGATTTTGATATTTCCACTTATGAACTAGAATCCACCAAGGCGGACAGTTCCAGTTCCATATATGTGCCAAAATAATTAAATAGTTTCTGTATTTTTAATTATTTCAATAAACTACAATGCTGTATGTATAGGTATGTGGAAATATGATAAAAAATAAAAATAGTCTAATAACTAACCTAGGTATATGTAACATTTGAATAAACTCAATTACTACTCGGGTAGCGAATGATTGTGAACGAAGGTCATTTATCAAAAAATTTGATTTTTTTAACCAAAAAACTAACGATTGCGAACGTTTTTATAGACAACGTTGCCAATTTTATAATTTCTGAATATCTTTAATTTTGTTCAGAAATTCAATTCAATATTTTTTTTTTTTTAATAAAAACTATTCAATAATAATAATCAATGTTACATTATAGCTACGTTACAAACTAAAATAAAATCATATGAAATAAGTATTTTAAATGTTGAATAATTAAAATTTCGGATTATAAATATTAATAATACTGTTACTTACATAATGTATTAACTGAAAAAATAAAGATAATAAAAAAAATAATAGTTTTTAAAATGTTTTTCTACATTTTTTTTAAGTTAGGAGGTTCCAGTTTTTTGTAAATGTAAAATTAGATCCTTGAAGACTTTATAAATTGTAATAATTATAATTTTTTAATGTTGATTCGATTTTAGATTTATATTCTTTGGCCATAGAGTTATGTAAATTGTTTTAATAGCGAAGTAGTAGAACATCCTTATACCTACTATTTAATTATTTTAAAAATTTGTAATTGACTAACACCTAGTCTGGTAACATCGCACGATTAAAGATGAATTGAAACGTTCGCAATCGTGTTACGGAAAAAGGTCTGTTCACAATCATATATCACCCTTACTATACTCTAACTAAATTAAATGCTTATGATAATGGTTTTGGAATAGATTTTTTCCTGAATCCGCTTTATTTTATTATTGATTTTGCATTTCACATGTAATTTTGGACACAAACAGAACATAAACGGAACAATATAATTCAAATCAATTGAAAATCATACGAAATCTAAACTTATAAAATAAGTAGGTAGGTAAATATCTAAATAACTAAAGTAACACGAGTCTCCGCAGTGTTATCAACGCGTAGCCCGGTGTAAGGGTTGCAAATAACCGACCTAAGTACATATAATATAGTAGGTAGGTAGGTATTTTGTACATCATTATAATATAAAATATATAATATAATAAGCACACGACGAACGAGAGAGAATGAAAGCAGACGGCTATACATTACATTACACGCGACAGCAAGCTGCGACCCGGCGATAAAATGAAGAAAAAAACCCACTCCGTCAAACTAGTATTTCGGACAAAAGAGTTTTAAACCCCTTTCTCGAAAATGGCATAATATAATATAATACAAGACACGAGACGGACGGGCGTCACTGAATGTGACGATGACTACCAGGATGGTTGATATAAAAACGGCCAAATTGTACACAATAATAATAACATATAATACGGTGACGCGGCAGAAGAATGCCTAAATAAACGCAGGACGACCGTCGAAGAAGTTTTTCTCGGAGGACGCGTCCGGTGACAACGGTCGGCGGCGTCCGGTCTTTTGCAAATATACACGTAATGATACGTATTACCACGCCATACACTATGATGATGGATGGACGTAGCGCGGAAAAAGGCTGCGGCGGCATCGTCGTCGGACAAAACGGGTATTATTTAGGATATATTTTTTCCTCTACCCATTTTTCGTTTTGATTGATTACCCGGACACGGGGTACTAGTTGTTCTACGTCCCCTCAACGACTCAGCCGAATTCAATATTCTGCGAACGCGGTCACACCGCCTTAGTGTGCGGTTCACACGACAGTTGACGGGTCGTTAACGTTAAAAAAAGATAACGTACAACCTATAACTAGCTCAAATATAGATCGGATTTTTGTATTTTCGTCATTGAGTTTTCATAGATGATTCAGTCGGACAGATATGATGAGCTTCGCCGAAAAATATCGACAATATAAACAGTTAAAAACTGGGCCAAAAAAAAAAAAAAAAAATGTGGTATGTACCATCAAACAGAAGAATTTTTTTTCAGTGTCTTAAGTTACCAGTCATTGCGTTGATCTACAGAACAAATATAAATACTTAAGGTAGGTAACTGGATCAGCAGCGTCATTTGGGGGGATCAGGGTGTGTGTGGTTGCACCCTTTACTTTTAAAATAATATACTGATTGGCCTGCGCCCTGCAAAGATAATGCTCAAAATTAAATCTTCTTGAATTGTATTTTAATTTTTATATTGACATACCTATATCAATATTAGTATATAGTCTGCAATTATTATGATTGTTAATTAATTATTATATTTTAGTTTTTAAATTGATTTTTACTGCCTATTTATATTAATGTAATGGTTCAATCCATGAGATGTATGGAAATAATTGAAAGCAGTATAATGCATACATATACGTTCATACATATATTTTTATATGGCCTGGTGAAGTTTTAAAATGGACTACTTAAAACATCATACACCTAAAAAATAATCTGAAATAACGCCCCTAAACTGGATATACTAGAAATTAAGATACGATATATTTACTAGTAATAGTATGATTTCCAAAATAAGCACTTACCTTTTTTCTGTCAACTGTACATAGTTATACAATATAATATACTATAATATGCAAAAACATAGGTTTAATGAAAATAAGTATATAATATATATTTATGATTTAGGTATGCATGGAACATTATAATTAGATGTTTTTCTAAAGGCCTTTGCATTCACCATCATCATGATCTCTATAATAGTTAAGTCCAAATTTAGGGTGACACTGTGGTAAAAGGGAAGAGAGAGAGCTAGCCCCAGCTTATCCCTTACAACAAAATATTTTTTTTTAATGTTCTAATTTATAAATAAAATAAAATATTTATCACCAAAAATAAATAATAAATTAATAAGTATTTAATAATATCAATATGATAAAGTTTTTTAATTAAAGTAGTTGCATTTTACGTAGAAAACCATAAATTATGATTAATATTATTAGTGTCTAACGCTCTAAATATAATTTTGTTAGTATACTGCAGTGGTTGTGGCGATAAAATATATTTGTTTAATTAATTAATTAATGTGTTATATAATATTGTATTAATTAGGTACATTATTTTTTTTCAATTGTAAGGAAATTATAAAACTACATAGTTACAGATGTAAAAAAATATTGATTAAAATTGTTTTAAAGTAACAAAAATTGACAATAATTTTTAATGCAGTTGTTTAAATAATTATTGCATCAGAGTAATAAACAAATACATAAACTAGGTATTTAAAACTACGTCATGATAATATTAACATTTTTATTTTTATAAATATAATAATTAAGTATCTATTTACGAGTAATTTGATTATGTTATTTAAAAAATAATTACAACATATATTAAGAATTTACATTAGCAAAATTAAAAATACACTAAATAGTGCTACTAGTGAAAGATCCTAAACCAGTATTTTTCTTTTTTAACTATTTGTCAGGATTTTAGAGGATAGTGCGAGAGGAAAGAAGTTAAATCAGTAGAATTTTATGACTTTGTACTCTTTGGTAAAGTAAGTTAATGACTTAATAATTTGAATGAAATCTCTAAAATATTCCAAGATTTGAATTTTTAGTTGATCCTCATTCTCTATGAATTTGAAAGAATATTAAATAAAAATGTTTAATAACAAAAATATAGTGAGCTTCTTTTACCAAATTAATTTTGATTCACATAGTACCTACTTTTTTTTTAAACTATCGTGACGAGTAAAGGGGGACTTTGAAAGGCTTTTTGCTAGAAAGCTTAAGCTGTCTAAGACACTTAAAATATCAATACGATTTATAATAAAATAAACATTTTATCACTTAGAAGCTGTTTATTTACATTTGTATAGGTATAATTATGCATGTTTGAGAGCAATATTTAAGCAGTAAATTAAAGATTAAGGCAACTAAATTTTTATATTATGTAAAAATCACAATCAACTAATGTAACTTGTAAGTTATAAATGTAAAAGGTAGATACATGGTTATTTATCTTGACCAAAGTAAGATAGAAGAGTGAACATGTTTTCTGATATACATGAATATAGGTACCGCCTAAATAAAATCACAAAACTACATATATATATATATTTTCTTTTTTAATATTAGCATGTCACATAATATAGGTATAATAATAATTTATCACACTTTAAAATTATATCGAACTATGGTGCTGTACCTATAGTATATGTTACGAACAAATTAAAGGTGTAAACATTTTTTTTTCAACAAATAACAACAATTTAAAAATAAAAAGAATTCAAAACATTTATTTTTTAATTGTCATGAACTAAATGATATAATAAGATCATTAGCAGGTCTGAAATCAATACTCTAAAAATAGAAATCCTAATAATTTATAAACTACAATATAACGAAATGTACAAGTTTTAAAATATATAGGGTTTAATAAACCTATTAGTAAATTTAAAGCTTTTTTAAACGTAATATTTATCTACTCAAATTTACAAAATGTATAGTAATATGAAATGAACAAGTGACATTTGTTCAAAAAATAGACATAAGACTTAGTATATAAAATATTTGCATTTCATAATTTATACAATTATTTAAGTATTTAACAAATAAATAATAACAATTAAGTAATGTTTACGTAGAAGAAAAAAATCAAAAATGTCTGTGGAATAAAACGTATTTTCTACATATTTTTGAATTAAATATATGTAAAATTATACATATATAATATAGTATATTATGATTTTTAACGATAAGAACTAATTATGCTAATTTAGATTGTTTTTCATATTATACATAATGTGTACTAATTTCTGTATGATACAATATAATATACACACATTTGATTGAAATTTAAAATGGAAATTTTATAAAAAATTTAAATAATAATTACTTCTTGAAATAAATTATAAAAAAAAAAAAAAAAAAATTGAGTACTTAATTTATATTATATTATATTATATGAGCATATTATACATATTATTACTACATTTCTTATAAATAAATTTGTAAGTATTTAAATAAAACTTTGGTTAGAAAAAAAAATAATAAAAAGGACCATTTACAAAGGATCTACTATAGTTCTTCAGTTTATATTAAAAATGTATTAAGACTATAATTTTTTTATTATGATTATTATTATTTAATCGAATTCGGATAAAACTAATTACATTACATTTACACGTAAATGTATTTTAAAACTATTAAATGTATCAAAGATTTTAATTAATATTACAATAAACAAAATTTTTTGTCACTAAAATAACATTAATGTCTTTAAAATGCTATAATATAATATTAAACATAAAATGCCTTCAAATGTATTTTAATTAATATATGTTGAACTATGTCCTTAAAATCATATTTTATATTATTTATATTCATAATTTTTGAAGAAAAATAAAATATTAGATTGGTACATCATATATTAAAATAACTTTTGCCTATTGGAAAAACACTACATGATAAATAATCTCAATCTTTACCTGTTAAATTACTCTGATTCGTTATACCTATAACGCATCATTTTCTTCACACAATCTTTGTATGTTTCACGAGGGCCTGGAACAACACCAACAGCCCTAGTACCTAGTCCAGCATTTGCTAATCTACCTTCAGCTTCTATTATAGTTGTTCGTCCTTGATTACTTTTACCTAATCCCATTCCTTCTTGCCAACCCATTTTTTGTAATAATTTGTTACCTTTGTTGTCTGATCCAATACCCAATTTAGTTGGTTGTTCATAATCTACAGTAGCTTCTTTGGCCTTCATGTACTTGTCTTTTAAGTTGTTTAAAGGTTTATCAGGCTCATTATATTTCATCCTTCTTTCTTTTGCTCTATCTCTATATTGAATAACACGTTTTGATTCATCATCTGGATCTAATCCTCTCTCATTGTACCAATTTCTAATATTTTGTTTATGTAAGTCAGACATTTGTTGATGTTTTATTAATATTTCTTTGCTACTAAACTGTCGTTTACATAATAAACAAGCAAGTTTAACCCAATCAGTATGTTGTTCATCTTCGCTTCGATTGGCTTCTTCCATAATTTCATCGTTGTAACTAGTATCATCAGATGTGGAAGCAACTGGAAATTGCTGTTTTTTAGGTTCTGTCTTAGTGCCCATTACAGAATACCCAATGTCTGCTGCAGCTTGATTTTTTGCAGTTTGTATTGCAACTTGGGCTGCTACTAAATTTTGTTTGGCAGAAATCTTTTTTTGATTTAATGTTTTTGCCCATTTTTCCATATCCTTGGCAATACGTTTTGCTACTTTTACTTTGTCATCATCTTTTTTTTCTTCTACAAGAGGCTCTTCTTTTTTAGATTCGTTATTGATGTTATTTCCATTAGAATTTGAATTTTCATTTGAAGGCGCTGATAAATAAGTTTGTTTTGTAGCATCCCAATAAAGAAAACTATTTGTAAAACTGTTAAAATAATACTGTGAGTTTGCATCATAATAGAGCTTAGTGTATGGGTCATAATAATAACCAGATGCTTTGTCATATTGATAAGTAGATAAATCAGGTGGAGAATATGTGATATCTCCTTTCCCAGATGGAGGTTGACTTAAAGAATCAACTTTATTAGTAATAGGTAATGGAAAAGCTGGAACAGTTTGTGAAATAACAACTGTTCCAACAGGTGCATAAACAGCTGAAATAGGTTGCACAGATGGTACAGACGGCATACTAATAGTCTCTCCCTTTTGTATTTTTTCAGTATAAAAATTAGTATAATATTGTACATACGAAGTTCGTTCAATAGGAGTTTTTGCATAAATATTTGCACTAAATTCTGCAAGTCTAGGAACATCAGCAATAGTATAGTTTGGAGTTTCTGGTTTCTGATTGCTCCATTTAGCTGCTTCAACTGCAGCATTACCCATTGAAGCAGTAGCTATTGGTCCGACTGGCCCAAGTTTACAGTATGACACAAGAACTTCTTTTCCATCGATAAGCAATGGATCTTCTACAATTAATGCATTATGGAGGTACATAGCATCAACCACATTGTTCATTTCTAAGTAGCAAAGACCTTTAGAGACATTTGTCAATGGATTTCGACCGATTCGAACACTTCGAATAGGCAGTGTTGACAGTGGTTGTATAGCTTTAAGAACATTTTCTTCAGTTGTAAGCAATTCTAGCCCTCTAAGTAAAACTGTATGTGTAGGATAAGAACTGACTTCTTTTGTGTGATCAAATATTTCTCCTACTTCTCTTGAAGCTCCACATACAAAACAACTTTCTCTACGCTTAAAGTTATGAGCATTGCATTTACACCACCAATCAGATAACATTTTTTCAGGGTCAATTGTAGAAATAGTATACTGCATGATTGCTCTAAAATTATCTCTCAACATCATTTCACCTTGTTTACTTTCCATAAGTGTCTCAGCTTCTGCTTTTGTAAAAAATTCTACAAATGCAAACCCACGAGATGACCCGGTATCTTTTTTCCTAATCAGACGTATATCAACAGGTGTAAGACCACATTTTAATATCTCTTTTCTTATATCAATTTCTGATATATGGGGAGCTAAGCCACGGACAATAATAGTTTTATTCGGAATTTGTTTTTTAAATGTGTATCTATCAAAATCTTCTTCACGATAATATTCTTGTGATCCATCTTGACTTCTTCTTGTGTCTACAGTATTATAGTGGCGTCGAGTACTAGTAGTAGCTGAATCTGAGTATATATTTCTAACTCTAGGCCCATCAGAACCTTCAAGGCTTCTTGAACGACGTTTTCGACGTTCTTCATCACTACTATATTGACTTGTTTGCGAGTCACGATCACCTGGAGAATATCTATTTCTTCGTTTTTGAGATCTAGACCGAGATCTAGATCTAGACCTACTTCTTGATCTTGACCTATGGTGCTTTTTATGTTTACTATGTCTCCTACTACCATGTCTACTCGAACTTTTATCATGTTTACTTTTTTGACTATGATCTCGACTTCTGCCTCTTTCTTTACTTTTTTCAGTATCCAGAAATGAATCTACAGATTTATACCAGTTAGTTTTATTATTTGAAGTATCTACACTTTGTTCATTGTTGGTACTATGATTAGATCCGTTTGAACGAGGAGATGAATCATAAGCTACCAAGTCCATTTCAACACTTCGTCTAGTAGATGATTTTACCTCATCATTATTTGAGTCATAACCACATGTATCCTTGACCACAAACTCTGCGTCCATCTTTACAATGAAACAAACAAACAGACAACATTTATTAGTTTAAGAAACTTATTAACTTTAAATTTGTGTTCCTCATTCGCCTTGGTCCCTTTTACGACCTTCTTCAAATATGATTTTCTTTTATTATTACTTACTCAAAGTAATAAAGTTAATTAAATGATACTAATTAGTTGCATACTATTAATTTGAATTAACATTTTTTATATATAAACAAATTTTTATATAAATCATATCTACAAATAAAAAGAAACTATGTAGGTACATAATTTCTTGTTAAAGTTTCTATATTTTATGACATATATTTGTATTAATAATAATTACAATTAATACAAGACATAATATATTAATTAAGTAGATTATAGTTAATTATTAAATAATGATTAAAATACAAGTCTACAGTTAAATTTAATTTAATTTGGTCCTACCTCAAACAAAAATGAATGTTCTATGAATGTAGCACAGGCAACGTAGCTTTAAGTTATTCTTGATGGTTGTTTGGATTGTTGAATAATCTGTAATACAATTTGTATTGAAATTGAATGAAATTATTAAAATGATCAATTAATGATCAACAGTGGACACTTCGTCAACAACAATAATCAATCTGTCAGAGGTTCAAGACACATTTCTGACGCATAGCCAATATTGACTAACATTGTTTAAAAATTGACTAACCTTTGGATATTAATAGTACTAGTTGAGAACTAGTTTGGAACAGTCCTAAACAACCAAAGCGTAATGACTGAACAGGCTGATACACAAATCTGCAATACATTTATAATGACTCATGATATTACATCCAATTATATTTTAAAAATCCATTTATCAATACAGTTGACTCCAGTGGTGAAATTTAGAAAAAGAAGTTACAATATTATGGTTTTTCATATATTCTTCTAATTTTTTAAAATATTTATCATTACAAAAACAATTGTATACAAGCTTATTTATTAGTATGTTATAATTAATTTTATTATTGAGGTATAAAATAAATCTATTTATATTAACTGTTATTAAATTTATTACTTATACAAGCCAAAACCAAAAAAAAAATATAATCAATTTGACTATGATATTAAATAATTAACTCTAAAATATTATTAATTATCCCACTATATAAGCTAAATTACAATAATAATCCCAAAACAATCCACTATACATAATTTAGACTATTCAAATAATCATAACATTCATGTATTATAAACAGAGCTCGGAAATTGTAGCAAATGCATATTTTTCTTGGTTTGTCCTAGAACATCTGAAGTAAGATACAAATATGTTTCATACTTCTCTGGTGTCATATACGAAATTTTCTTTTTCTATTTTTTGCATATTACGGTTTTTATTGTTATTTTGCTAATTTAGTGTTTTTAGTACTATTTTGGGTAATATTTTCACATAATATATAAAATATCCGCATTTTGTTGAAAATAATGATTTATTTGGTTATATTTTTAAAAGTATCCAAATTCTTGAATTTTTTTTTTCTTTTTAACTGTAAATTATAAAATTGTAAAATTGCATTTAATTTTTTTTCTAATAAATTTATAATTTTTTCAAGTTGAATGCATATTTTTTGATTTTTAGTTAGATAGCACATATTTTTGAGTATTGAAGTGCATATTTAAGAGCTAAAAAATACATTTTTAGTGCTTTTAACTTTCGAGCTGTGATAATAAATTAAAAAGTCATATTAAAAAAAATAAACGAATTACTATTCTTTACATATTTTTTTTTTTTTTACTTAAATTTAAAATCTAATCTGGGTTAGTAAATTTTAAATAAATATTTAATTAAATAAGATTATCTAATAATATGATTAGAGAATTTATACTAATTATTTTATTTATTCGATTTAAATATTAGCCTAATAATAAAAGTTTACCTAATACATATATTCAATGGAAATTTTTAAAGGCATATGTAAAATATAAAATGTATACTATTACTGAATATTATATGTATGTATAGGAAGTATAATTATGATAATGAATAATCACAGTAATCATAGATATCACGAATACCTACTATTTTATACTTATTATTTGGAACATTTTTAGGTATATTTAAGAAACTATGAAAAAATGTTCATTTCTAATAAACTAGCTGACCAGGCAATATATTTCTATTGTTAGATTTCAGTACATTTATAAATAATTATAAATATGTGAAAAGCTTGATATGTATTATATTAGTTATTTAATTTGATTTATTTTTAAGTATACTATTATAATATGTATATTTAAGTATGGAATGTATTCATTTTTTTATGATATATACTTTTTTTATTTTCATCAGTACTTTAAATTTATCTCAAGTATTAAATATTTCTGGATATACCATGTTAAGTGTCTCATCTTCTGGGGCCAGCAAAAATACTAGACAGTAAAGTCTACATCTGTAAAGTTTAATGTTTGACCCTGAGCCTTATTGATAATCATTGAAAAGCTTAATTTCACGGAAAATTGGAGTTGTCTAAACTGGAATGGAATTATATTATTACTATTAGTATAATCTATTATTTCTCAATAAAAAAGTAAGGTAAAACTTTTTTTTAAAAAAATATGTTAAGCGTTTGTAATTTGAACCTGAAACATCACTGAATACGATGTAAGGTGTTGAATTATTTACATAATTGTTATTTTTTGCACCCAATTAATTTTTCTAAAACAAATTATACATTAAAAACTTTCCTGAGTCTAGACCTATTCATTAGTGAAAACTACTAAAATTTGTTGAGTACTTTCTGAGTTATATGCGTACATACAAAAAAAGGTTTCTATTTTATTTAATATACAGATATAGATACAGATAATAATATATATTATATGGATACCTTATTAATAATATGTTAATACTCGTATATTGATTAAGTTCACATTATTATAATTTGTAGTAGATAATACATTTCTTATTTCAATATGACATTGAAACAAAATTAAAATTGTTGTTAAATTTAATAGCAATAGGATTTTATATCAAACTTTAAAAAATTATCATTAGAAATATTAAACTAAAAAATGAATCTGTTCAGTGGCGCTGAACCTATACATGAACTGAAACGATCGCTTCATATAATAAAGAGGGTGGGTGGTTTTATTTGTATATGTTTTTTTTTTTTTTACATTACATAATACTTATACTAAATAAATAAATAAATAACTTAAGTTATTAGTCATTAGAGGTAGACAACAACCTCAGTGAGGGTGGGTGGGTGTATAAATATTTTGATTTTGCTTCACTTAAATTTATATGGCTCAGCGCCACTGAATCTGTTAAAAACATTAACTTATTTTTTATTAGGTACCATTTTTATTATTTACTTAAAAGATACTTCAACTTGAAAAAAATATTCAATAAATACAACAAAGAAATCTGGAATTCTTTTTATGAAAACATAATTATAAGATATAAAACATTTGAATATCTACACAATTTAATATAATACCTACCTAATTAAAAAACATTTATAAATCATAAATAATATAATTTGCATATTATATTTTGTAAAATTATTTTTGATAATAATTCAGTAACATGAACTGAAGATGATTTTGACTTTTTAATATAAATCATTTCTATCTACCACAGACTTATATCTTAGGTATAACAAAACTAATATTTGCATTTACTAGAAAAAAAACCTATATATAGGGCATTTTTATTATTTTTTTTTTTTAATTTGTTATGCTTACCAAATTTGAACAGTTCGCAGTTTAGCTACACACTGATAAATGCAAATAAAGATCAAGCTATAATGTGTATGAACAATAGAAACAACAAACGTAATACTAACATTATTTTAAACAATTAAGTACATATTAATTTGACTATAGTACACCAAAATAATTACAACATGCATAATAAAGTATTAAAAGTTATTAGTTAATACAACTGCTTATATTAAACACTTTAAGCCTATTAAAAATATTTTATTTTTATTTTTACCATAGGTAGATTAGTAGATAATAAATAATAATATATTATAGGTATCTAAAAGTGGATTGATAAATTTTTTTGGACTGGGAAATATCAATCAAACAAATGTAACTTACCCCCCCCCCCAAGAAAAAAGCATTATTTTACTAAAATTTCAAAACTTTTTTGGTTGTACCCCTATATTACTAAAATATATAATAACTATAATTATAGCTATTAATAGTTGTAGGTTAGTCAGATAAGTTTAATCTGTTCGGTCTTAAGCTTGAAGTTTGCCACATTACATTTTTAAATATAAACAGAAAATAACTTTAAATATTTTGTAATTAGTAGAAATATTAACTTCTTGTATATTATTTTAAAGTTCATTTAATATTCTAAACTTTTTATGAAAATAGATTCTATTATTTCTTTAACTGTTCATATATTACATTGTATTAACTGTACAAAAACAATTAGATAACAATTTTCTCCACAATAATCAACTTTTAATTTCTTAATTTTCAAAAAAAAAAAAAAAAAAAATGGTATATACTACACCATTCAGGTACCATAAATGCTAATTTTCCCATACATATTTAAAGGAGAGTTTATGCACATTATATATAGAAAGGGGAACGTTGCAAAAAATATATAATGATTTTATAACATTCTAGTATAAATTTATTTATCAACCAGCATCCTTGCAGCGCCTACATGTGCCTTTAATTGATTTAATTTATTTATATGATCTCTAAAAAGTCATTTAAATTAATAGGCAAATTTTAGTATAATATATCAATCTTATAAGTGTTATAAATTACTTTACATAAATATAAATAAATAAATCAATAAGCCATACAAAACAATATTAGTGATTGTTATTAATAATAATACCAAAATAATAACAACATATTCATTATTTAAACATTTTATGCTTATTTTAAAAAATAATATAACTTTTTTTGGAACTATAAAACAATATGGCATGCCATACAAGAACTGGCCAGTTAAGAAGATTTCCGAATTTTTAATAGACTAATCCATTCCTGTACATACCTTTTTAATTAAGTCAATGTGACATTACAACACACCAATACATATTTGTTTAAAAAAAATATATATTTACAAAAAAAACCTGCTCTAACTAATATAAAAGTATAGTTTTTAATTTACTTAACATTATTCGTTTAAAAAAGTCAACATAATAAATATCCAATCAAAATATAATTATCAATCATACATGAACAATAATACAATATATATAACATACAAAATATTTTATTTTTTTAATAAGATCCACAAATTGTAATAATAGTTCATAAAGTAGTTAAGTTGTAAACTAAATATTGTTTTACTTAAAGTTAACTTATACAATACATAGATACCTAATAATTAAATAAGTATCTACCTATATTAAAATTGACATACAAAATATTAAATATGCCCCTTAACGACTTAGTAATGTTTATCCTAATAGCAAGAGCGTTATTTGTCTTACCTAATAGCTTGTGAGGTTGGGGTATAAGTATTTATTAAAATTAATTTAGATTCTGATTTACCTTTTTCAAATATTAAATCTGGACACCAAGCATATAAAGTTATTCATTTTTAAAATAACATTAATAGTTAAACAACAAAAATTTAAGAATGCTAAAGCTTCTTAATAAAACTTTAATTAGAAAAGATTAGTTTAAGTTAATTGGTTGAAAATTATCAAATCGCCCAACATTAGTAAATTACACTTTTATTATAACACAATTAGAACTATTTATGTTCAGATACCTACATATCATATAACATGGATTTTTCAAATTATAATATAAAGTTTATACTATTAACATACAATCATATTGCTGAGAAAAAATATTTTAATTATTTTAGCTATCTCGCTTTGAGATTTAATTAAACCCCAATACCGATTAGAACAATAAATTGACATTCATAAATAAATATAAACATATTCTAAATAGATAACCACTAGTACTTGAAAACAGTATACATAACAATTAACATTTGAAAAAATATTTAGTTATATTATAAGCATCGCCTCATCATCATTGAATACATCGGCGATGGAAAATTAATGTCAAACAGCGAACAGTGTTAATAGTTATTAATGAAATCATAGCCGATCGCAATTGGCTATTTTCTACTTACCTATAACCGAATTGCAGCACCCAATATAATTTTTGTCTGACAAATAACTTATTGAAGAATTGAGCTGAATATTTTTTGGCCGTGTGTCACAAAAAAATTATCATTCAAATCACTCCGATCACATCAAGGTTCAGCGACGTTGACATCGCAATAAAATTTAACTAGGACCACTATGAAAAAAAATCACATATAACATCGATTTTAGTTTCAAAATATATAAATAATTAAATATTGTTAAATTAAATTTTTTATTATGATTTGTGAGTATTTACCACCATTGTCCATTCGTTATCAGTAGTTCCGATAACGCGAACCCGGGCGGTAGCACGCCATAAAATTCCAAAGATAATGTATCTATTAGTCTATCAACTCCCGCTCTTTTTAAATAAATACCTTAGATATAATAACTGTATAATAAATATACAATTTTTTTATCATATAAATCTAAATAGATTATACTGTTTATTTATTTCGATAATTTAACTTGTGATCAACACTGATTTTTTCAAACTATATCATATTTCTTTTTATTATAATTTATACATGTAAATATTAAATATTTGCTGTTTTTAGTTAAAAAATATGGTTCCGCGACATTTCATCGGAAACTGATCTGCAACCAACCATGTACATAATAATAAATAATAAACAGAATAAAAAATTAATTTTCAAAACCAATTTAGATTATTTTGCGGTATAATATCAATAATTGCGAATTAGTGCAGTAAATCTGTAAATCCAGAAAGACCTTACAGGTCCCCTACTCTTAAAACCATCAACCTTGCCTTGATTAAAAAAATTGACCAACTGTATGATAATATAAATTAAAAATTGAATAAATAATTTTGCTTTTTAAAATAAAAATAGGTTAAAGTTTATTTATTATAACAACGGTTATTTATTTTTAAATAATTAAAAATGTAATCATATATTATTAAAATCAATACTATACCTACAATACGCTGTTATCAAATACAAACCAAATAATGAAATAATACCCACATAATTATACATTCCATAATTATTTAACAAAATTGTTGTCAATCTTACATTCTTATAGTAGTAAATACTAGATATATATGAGAAGTAATTAGAAAATTTGAATATAATATTTACCTACTTAATACCTATAGTAGATATAATAGATAGTAATTGTATATATTATGTTTATACTTGCAAAATCTTAAAATATTCAAGTATAATTTATCAGGTGTACTTGACACTGGTACCCATAATAACCATGTAAATATTAGACCTCTATAAAATTTATCTAAAACAAATTTTTATCGTATTAGAAAATACCATGTAAAAGTTAAAAAAGATTAAAAAAAAAAATCAAATGCATTAAGATCACCCTTTTCAAATAGGCATAGTTAGGGGGCTTAGGATGAGGGCTTGAGAGGGCTTAACCCCCAGATCGGAAAATAGTTCTCTCAAAATTCAGACGAAGCCCTCCACGAGTCAGTATACGTCTACCCCTAGGAGGGCTACAATCCCCCAAAAAATTTAATCGTCTTACGCCTATGACTATACTATAAATGTATTGATAAGTTATAAAAATTAGATAATAACTAACGGTATTTGAGTTTATTATCGTTCCGCCACTGAGCCAAATAAAAATTTAGGCGAGTACCTAGTCGTTTGTTCGAAAGTTATGTGTACGAATGAAAAGTGTTCGAATGTTATCTGTTAGAAAGTTTAAATGTTCGAATATTTTTTTGATTATTCGATTATTCGAAAATTGTTATTGTGAAATTAACAAAATTTAATTGTTCTAAACTGATTGTTGAAGTGATCGATTTATCTTGTAGATAAGATGCCAGACTTGGATTATATATAATATACTATTATATTATTATTAGATTATATTATTTCATGATACTATATTATTATGATATATATTATAAATTATAATACACTACACCAGTGGTGACCAAACTACGGCCCGCGGGCCAACTCCGGCCCGCCATCATTTAATATCTGGCCCGCAAAAGAACTATAATATTTAACATTTTCGTAAAAAAAAAAAATTGAAAATACAGTATACTGTATACATTCTTCATATTATTTAATCCTGTATCGCCATATTGTAGCTTAATAGTTTATTTAAAAATAATTTTTGGAAATGTAAGCCGATATAATTTTTTTTCATTTGTAGTAATTATTAAGTTAAGTATTAAAAAAAGTCATTAAAATTATTAAGTACTATAAAAACGTCGTTAAACATAAACTTATATACCTATACCTACAATTCTGATGACTTAAAAGTAAAAAAAATTTTATGGCCCGCGGTAAAAATTTTTTTTTTTTATGGCCCGAGGTAAAAAAAGTTTGGCCACCACTGCACTACACAATCGGCGTACAAATATGAATTCTATGTTTATTTGAAAAAAATAATGTATTACAAAGATAAATTATAGGCAATTCCTCTTAAAAATTTTAAAATACTAAAATCAGCTTTACACAATAATTTAGAACAAGTTTTTGAATACATTCTTGTCTTTGTTGTTTGGACTCTTTGAACTTTTTTTGATATCTGTTTTGAATCAACTGTTTTATCAAACCTTCTGTCTCATTCTGAATGTGCTGATTTAACTTAACTTTGCTGGAGTCATTGGAATGATGATTACACATTTATATATAAATTTATTTATGGCTGGTTTATCACACAACCATAAAAGTATACCTATCTCGATGACTGCATACGAACTGAGTCTCAGTATAACCTTTTATGATGAATTAAGTCCCGGGTGTCTTAGGGTATATACATTGAGTCCAGTTAAATTTTAGGTATAATACTAATTGAGTTCATATTTTAATACTAACTGAGTCCCGTCAATTTAAAAAAAAAAAAAAACATTATACTATGTTATATTATTATCATCACGACGATAGTGATTGTAGTATCATTTATCATGATATCAATTGTTTTGTAAGCACTTCGTCGTCGGTGATAATATAATATAACTTTTCACGTGTTTGTAATATTATATTTTTCTTATATATGTTTAAATACGACTCATATATTTACATTTTGTATGGTTACCTCTCCTTAGGCAGTTCTCAATGATTATAAGTATTTATTCTTTCGGTGGTGACGGTGGTGTAGTCATTGAGGCCGACCGCTTAACCGTAGGAGCCTCGTGGCTAAACAAATATAAACAAAACGTATATTATACGTATATCCATTTTGACGAGCATGACGGCTGTATGGCATAATTTCCGCTTTGCCTGGACTTAAGGCGGTTGATTTTATATTTTACTCAAAATAATCCTCGGACTCAATTCGTACACTATTAGTTTCCTAGCCTCGGACTCAATTAGTATATGTCCCATTTGTACCCAGGACTTAATTAGTATATTATTTTATTCCCCTTCAGGTATAGGGACTCAATTAGTATATAACGATCTCGATTATCCAATATCGCCAACTTGTGTAAATATTCAAATAGGAAAATATAACAATCGTATATAATACTATTCGAATACAAGTCCATTCAAACAGATTTTTTCGAATACTTATTCGACTGATTCCCAAAAATGTATCATTATATCACCTCGCCACAAGCAACAATTTTTTAATCTAAAATTTAATATTTAGATATTTCTCTGTATAGTTCTGTAATATCTTACGTGTAAATTGTAATTTATCAATAGAAGAAGGTAAATAGGTATTATAACATAATGATATTTTTATGCCAGGTTTTATGAACGTTCATCAAATATTTAATGAATTAATAGCACACTATTGAATAAATAAAAAGTTATTCGTTTACTAAACATTCAGTAAACATTCTATAGCGTTACCGAGTTACCAAAATATTGGATACCAATTAATGAAACTAATGATTCGATTTGGGCTTATTAAATTTTAGCCATTCATTAAACTTGTTATTACGTTGTCACTATAAATACGCATTTACTTATTCAAATTAAAACAGCTGAAGATTGCCATCGCTTTACGTGTGATAAGCTCAAACTTCAAGCTTAGTATCATGTATAAAACCAATATACTTTTATTCAACTGTTTGTGCAACCCAAATGGCTTAATACAAATATTTAATGATTCTTTAAACCGTTCGTTAAATAAATTTAACAATGATTTTATGCAACCCAGCGATTATGTTATTTAAAAACTAATTTTATTTTATAATCATGTGTGTTATTAACTTGTATTTATGTATCTCGTATATTATTGTGTGATTTAAAGTGTATATATGTTACTTAACTACCTATCTTATTATAAAGTTATTAGCTAATTTTAAAATATTATTAAAAATTAATTTTAATTAGTTATATACTCTATAATATTTGATATAAGTGCTGTTATTATTTTTTTTTTTTTTTACTACAGAAACATTAATAAATACATATAACGGATCTAACTTCTATAGTTTCTATAAGTATTCCGCTCAAGTCCACGGTTATTCGTCATCATTAAATGTAAGTTTATAAATTGCAGTCGTTATCACTTTATAGTTTATACTTATACATGATACATTGTGCGAGTGTAAAAAGTAATGCCTAAAAAGGACATATTAATATAATAACAATAATAATTATTAATAACTCGTCGTCGGATAACGGCGCTTGATTTTTGCTCTGATCATTGCAGCGATGGTAAGTTGGTTATGGAGTTTATGACCAATCCATTGATTGTCGCAATGCTAGACGCTACGGCCCTGGTACACCGATTCGTATTGCGCACAACAACTGGTATGATCGACGCTGCCGTTGAACGTCGCACTAGGACGATGGATTCGGCTCATGGGATCCCAATCTAGTGTTTCGCCTACAGTATTTTATTTTTCAGACATACAACAAACGATTTTACTGTAAAAAATAAAGTATTATTAATGACATTTTTAAATTATGCCCAAATTTTTAAAGTCTTATTAATATTAGCTTACTATATGATTATTATTATTTAAATAATTAAAATATTTAAAAATTATATTTGATGTTGATTATTTTTAAATTGATTTTTGTTTAATTTTAAATATATTTATATAAAATATAATATAATATTTATTATAGTGAATTATATAATATTTATTTAATTATTATAATTTATTTATTTAGATAGAAAGAAAAATTAGTTTAAATTATTAGTGCAAATACGAGAGTAACAAATTAGGTGCTTGAGGTATATTTCATATTTTCACCAAGAGTATTTTTTTGGGGAAGTTTCAGCTTGTATGAAATCAGTTTTTATATTAAAAGA